TGATATGTATGCTTGACCTCTATGAAATGGGGAGTACATGCATGAAAGATAGGGGAAATGTATAAATTATATGTGACATCTAACATGTTCTCGCTTATCAATTTATTCCCAATCATCTTTGTTTGTCATAATCAAAAAGAAGGAAATTGTTAACATATGGTTGACTTCATGTTTTGATTATAACAAACAAATTGCTTTTATCTCTAATAGTTGAATTCAAGTCGTTATAGCTAAGTTGATCAATTGAAGACATAGAGATCGCTATCAAAAGACTCGCAATTTGTGTTCAATAAAAATCGAGATACAAGCCCAGCATTCGAGCAAAATCAATCAAGATGAGCAATTCAACGGTCAAATATCAAACATTAGACTTGGATGTTTTGATTCATATGTAAATGTAAAACGCTTTAATCATTAGCAATGAATCATGAAAAGCTCGACATTGATTTTGTGCACGAAAACGAATTTACATCTCAAAAGAATTTTTATGCACGAAAACGAACTTACGTCTCAAAACAATATTTTCATAAAAATTATCTTTCAAGGATAAATATCTTGAACCTCATGAACATATATTTAAGAATGTATTTATCTTTACAAAATATGTGAGAAAATCCTTCAAGAAATTGCATTAAACGAAAAATCACGGAGGAAACCATCCGGGGGCAAAACTATCCAACCGGACGTCCGGATGGTTCTCAACGGTCATTTTTTTGTGATCGTTCTAATTGATTCAAATGGCTATTTTTTGACTCGTTCGGATCACAATCGGACGACCTGATGGCTCGTCCAGATGGACAGAAACGTCACCGTTTTGAGTCCTATAAATACCACTTCATTCTTCCATTCAAATAAGATTTAGAGGAACATCAAAAGTGAGATATTTTCTTAGAATTACTTGAGCCTCCACTTTGTATTTACTACATTGATTTCTTCATATCAAAACTTTGATTGATTTAAACTCTTTTAATTATTATCTTTATCAAAGTTTTTCATCTCTCTTTTTATATTTACTTATTTCTATCATTCATAGAAGAGAGATATATTTTGAAGAAAAGTGTTGAACTTACATTGCATCAATTCTTCCACTTCTCAAAAACTTTGATTGATTGAATTAAACTTTGAAATCATCATATTCATCAAAGTTTTCACATCTAACACTCGAGCTATACTAATTTTTATTTATTGAAGTGTTAGCCTACTTCTCTCTTGATACTTAATTGTGATTATATCATTTATTAAGAGAGAAGCTTTTACTTGTAAAATCATTCCTATTGTGGGTCATATTGAGGTCCCGTAAAACTCAATAGATTAGGTTACATTGAGGTCCTTGTAAAACTCAATATTGTGGGTTGTGTTGAGGTCCCGAAAAGCTTAACATTGCTAAAGGATAGGTGCTTCTTGTTGTAAGTCACCTAAAGATAAGTGTTCCTTGTTATAAGTCACTTAAGGATTGGTACTACTTGTTTGTAAATTACCATTATAGTGTATTTGACCTTGCTCGTGACGGAGAGTTTGGTAACAGGGACGTAGAACACATTGTGTATCGAACCCCATTAAATTCGCTTGTTATTTTTACATTATTGCACTTTACTTTACTTATCGCTTTTGTACTTGTGATTATTTGAATTAATCTATCTATTCTTTTCTTGCTTTAAATTAATCCTTCGAAAAAGTTTTAAAAACCAACTCACCCCCCTTCCCCATCTTGGTTAGTTATTCTTGGGCTAACATAATCCATAGTAGAAGATGTATACTTGAGCTTGTTTAGGGGCATCTAGATTATCAAATTTCCTAAAGAAATCCTTGAACCTCTCTCATGCCTCTGGATAGCTCCCGAGTTTCCTCATAGTGAACTTTTACATCATATCATTCCACGACACTAATGAGTATATCCATTTTCTTATGCCATCCTTCAAGGTATGAGGAAATAAACGCATTCGAAAGGCATCTGCATGCATCTCTTTATAATTGATAATTTCTCACAACATCAGGAAGCTCGTATATTTTCATGCGGATTCTCTGTAGCTTTCCCAAAAAAATTGATGTCCAGATTATTTTGAAATAGGTTAATGACATTTGGTCGCACATGAAAGTTAGGATGTCCAAACGGAGGATAGATAATTACAGGTTGCATTGGTGTAGGCACTGAATTCACATAATCTCCAACTAATATATAAGCTTCATTGGCGACAGCCCTATGCTGAACTAGCTCTTGCAGATGAAGTGGATCTTGAATCTGATTATGATGTTGATATGATTCTCGATCATTTCTCTTGCTTATCTCTGTTCTCTTCTATGATGTCTGAAAGTTCTTTCAATCTCGAGGTTATCTCATCTAAAATTTGCATAAACTGATGATTGCCTAAAAAAACACAAAAAAATTATATTGTGTGATTATGGCCTAAAACAAATTAACGATCGAATCTGATATAAACTAATAAATTTGTTTGAAAAAATTTCACAAAGACACGGGATCATTGACAAGTAAGACGTAATGAGTACATGTATGTCCCACAAGGAATAACATTCGACTAAAATGTACTAGTTACTATCAAATTCGATCAATGTAACACAAAATGTTGTTTGTTTTATTATTATTCTAAATAAACTGTGAAAGCTATAAAAGATTGATTTTTATCAAATAACGAGATAAATGTATTGAATTTCAGAATCAACATATTGATGTCTAGTTCCAATTCTCGACAGATGTACGTTAGTGTTACTAATGTGTTTGTGAAAATCGATAATCTATTGATATTTAATATTCTTTTTCAAGATATATTAAACATATGCTTAACACGCCTCGATCATATTCCTCATCCGAATTCACATGCAAAGCACATATTCGATCATACGATTATAACACACGATTGCACACACCATAAATATTATTCCTAATACACGTGTGTTGAATATGTATTGCTACAATGGGTCTGACACCACTAAACCTTATCAGATTCTAACCACTCAACTTGTAAATCGCCGAACATTCAAACAAAACAAAATTAATGCAAATTCAATGACAAACACAAGAATTAACTAAAGAATGATAAGTCTTAAATTAAAAACTATATATCAACAATTTCATCATCCATCAAATACATAGGATTATTTAGTCTAGCATTTTCATAGCAAAATTATACAAAAAGTAAAGAAACAACATCACCCGAATTAAAGAACACGATGAGGAACATGAAAACTCAAAAAATTTCACTTTAAACTTCGACCCGAGCTACAGAATTTGACTTCTTGTTGTTAAATTGCCTCTTGGGCTTTTAAACAATGATAAAGCAAGGTAGAATGAGTTCTAACAGCTCTGGGGTTATAAAAGTTGTCGAAGATATCATACCAAAACCAAGTGAAACAAAATAAGGAAACAGAATTTTTCCCCAGAGATGTATTATGCGCCAGCATTGTTAATTTCGAGCGTACTTAGAGTACACTTGGTTGAGCGTTAGTCACTTTGTTTGGCTGCCTTGCAAACGTTGGACCTACAGGCCTATGTGTATCCTTGGGGACAAACCGATTTTTCCATGTGTACATTTTCATCTTCTTCAACAATTTTTCATCCCATTGACTTCTCTTCACATCCAATTAACGTTTGGCACTCTTGAATCACCATCTTGCAGTTTGACCTAACTTTCGAATTATTTCACTTGAATCCCTGAACTTTGATACAATTTAACATTATTTTAGTTCGTTTTCCTCCAATTCCACCTTTATCATCGATTGTTACTTAATAAAAGCAATTCAATTCAATTCAAATCAAGTCAAATCAAGCTATTATTCGTTAAAGCAATCAATAAATACTCCAATTTTAATACCTAAATAAGTATATAAAATATATTTATCACCCAAGCCCCAATTTTGTCGTTGTCACCACCAGCCACCACTTCTTCGTCCACCTTATAGCCCCAACCCCTCAAGTTTGTCGATCACCATCGCCAAGAATGAGTGGGAGTGTCGTAGTCGGAAAGGATGGAAGTTGACAAAGGTGAAAATGTATCCAACAAACATTTGTCCATTTTTTGTGAGCCAAATCTAAAACCAAGCTCTATGTAGGCTTTGAGTTCATCAAAATCCTCTTCAGTAATGCTTTTGCTCCTTGAATTTTGTAGGACCTTCTGCCGCAGCCATGCCTCATCACAGTAGTTATCGTGGAACTTCTGGTATTACACGTCTAGGTGGATTTAATGTGTAGGGGGTGGTGGTAGCAGCATTGGAGGTGGTGATTGTGGATTTGAGGTGCACGGGTGGTGGTGGAGGTGGTGGTTGCAATTGTCGATTTGAGGCAAAATTGGTATTTGTCGATTTGATGGAGGCGATTTTGGTAGTATCAACAGTGGTGTGATGAGTGTTTAAGATCAATTAATTTGGTAATTTATAATCAATAAATAAATTATGACATATAAAAATGTGTGATTTGAGAGTAAATATTTAATTGTGACCCACAAATTATATCTTCGTGACTGTAACATTGTGTTATTTATGATTAATATGTAAGCGTGATTGTAAATTGTATGTTATTGTGATTGTGGTCTATTTAATTAAATTATTAGTCACAAAATTTTATCAGATTACACAAAATGTGACCTCCCAATTTTTAAAAGTTTTCCAGAAGTTTCTTATTTATGAAACTGTATTTTGAAACATTCATATTTATGTTTTTTTTTTTTCATTTTTATATATTGTAAAATTTGAACCGTGCATGGCCTAATTAAGAATATTTACAATCAATGGATGATTCAAGCTCATTTGGAAGTCACCTCAAATCCAAGTAGAGGGTAAGACAAGGGCCCTATATCTTGAAGAACAAGCAAAAGCTCATGTAAAGATTTCAACTTGACCGCGTCGTTGTAGAGGCGCAAAAAAACACTGGACCTATGTTCTGGTTGAATAAAATTAAAATATAATTACCTAATTACCATTAAGTGAAAGTATAAATAACTAAGGATGGCAATTGGGCTCGAGTGCAAGCTGAGTTGCTTCGTCAGTTCCTAAGTTGCTTCGTCCGATTCCCAAGATTTTTTCGGCGCTCTGAGAAAGGTCAAAGGATTTGGTGGAGGATCAATAGGCAATGTGCCTTCTAGAACTTGTATTACCTCACCTATTGACGGCCTCATTCGATTACCAACTTGAAGACACCAAAATGCAATGCGTAATGCGTGCTCCAACTCTTCCCAATTTATCCCACCTTCGATCCGCGCATCAGGCACCGTCTCGGCATGACCCTCCACCCATTTTTCATATGCCCATTCACAAACTTCAGCACTTTGGTGTCCACTAATCAATATGAGCAACGAATTGCCAAAATTATTAACAATAGTAAGTTTACATTTTCATATCACACAATATTGACTCTTCTGGAATCTCAACATAATATTGTTCAGGAATATTGATATAAACAAAAATTTGCTTCTTTAGAAGCAATTTAATTAAATTGCAACTTTACATTGAAATGTCTAAATTGTGATTTTTTAAAAATAACTACAATATTCTTCAAGATATTAATAAATATAAAATTGCGCTTCTTTACAATTAATTGATTCAAATAATTCAACAATATTCTTCTGGAATATTTAAATACTTGAATTGAGTTTTGTTCCAAAATAAAAAATATCATGCTCTTTAGGAATAATAACATATTATTGTTACAATAATAAATTATGTAAGGATTTATTCTTTAGGAGAAAAAATATAATTTATGTTAGATTTTATATTATTATACTCTTCAAAAGCAAGTAAATCTAACTAAAATATTAATGGAAAATATAATGTGCTACATTGAAAGCACATTATATTATACAATTGTTTCTTTGAGAGCAATGTGTCAATATTCTTTTGAAATATTGAAATTTGTAATTTATGTTCTTTACGAGCAAATAATATTCTTCTGGATTATTAATTATAATATTGTGCTACTTCAGGAGCAACAACATAATAGATTATCAATTTAAAATTTATAAAAGAATATCTAAAAATATTTAATCAAGTTAAAAATATTAATTACCATACAAACAAGGTGTGCTATAAAAATTAATTACAAAACATATAGGATATGAATTTATATATAAAAATTAATTACCAAAATACATTAGAAAAAAATCATCATATATAGAAATTATCAAAATTGATTAAATCTTTTATTGGCTAAATCTTTTACCAACATGCAAAAGATACCAAGCATATGAATTCACATATATAAAAGTTAAATGCATGAATAAATTCGAAATGAATTCCACATACACATAAGTTAAAGGTGTGAATTACACACATCAAACAACATGAATTAAAGGCATGAATCAAAAGGCATAGATTGCAACAGAATT